ATATATATATATATAAAACTGTTGAGACATAGTCAATTAATATGGCCCTACTCTCCCTAATCCCTTGTGTGATGTATTATATATTTAAGTTTCTATGCTGGTGTTTATAATCTCGTTTTGGAGGTGTTCTCTGTTGTCTTATGGACAGAATTAAAGTGTGATATTGTTTGAAATATAAATGGGATATAATACCTTACTGTAAATGAATTCATTACCCTTTGTTTCCTTGGGAATATTATCTGTTGAAAGAAAAAACCCACAACTCTGTCAAAATCACTCCTCTGTGTATAAAATCCATCTCCAAATCAGAGGGCGGTAATTTCTGGGACAATCAAGGAAGAAGAGCCATCAGTGGAGCAGACTCAAGGTCTCTGCCTACAGTAGTAGAGCCCAAGGTCAGAGGCACCAGAGACTGTGACATGATGACCATGGAATAGAGCAAAAAACCCACACTGACACCAGAGGCCAAGGTAAGGCGACCATGAGACAAACCAGGACCAAGAGGGAAGCTATGAGACTGTGATGCAGAGAGGCTTTCCTGGTCCATGGTGGCAGAGGCCAAGGAGCCACAGGGCAGAGCAGCCGAGGACAAGAGAGAGACATACTGTACTGCTGGCTAAGGATGGTTATTGCTCTTAACCAGTTACAGTATCTTTAATGTTTATGATTCTAACTTTGGTAACCAGTTAACTTCCCTAATAAATTTCTATAGTTGTGAATGTTGTCTGTAAATTCTGTGTGGCCATCACAATAGATCATTGAACCCAATAGAGGAGAGTGCCCCGAGAGGAACATGTGGTGTCAGAAGGTAAAGAAAGATGGAGGGCAGAAGCTTGACTGACTTCTGCCTCAGGGCAATAGATCTTGGGCTGGAAGGGGTTGGTGTCGCCTTCTCCCTTGTGAAGCAGGAGAGACTGACTTCTGGACTGTTTCACTCACATGTAGACCGCATTCAGAGTAAAGCCCTTCTATGGAACACGGAAGACAAAACACACATGCTGCTAACATGGCTTCTCCTTTGGCAGTCTACGATGTTTCAGCAAGTCTCTGCAGGGACACTGATTGTCTCTCCCATTGAAGGCCATGCCCCGAATCCAATCCTTGAGATCCATCATTTGCTGCTGTGGAACTGATTTTTAGAGAAATCTCCCTCCGGCTTGAGTGCAGATGAAGTACGTGGCTGGTTTTAGTGCTCCTGAAGGTCTGTAGTTCACACTGGTCATTGACATTTTTCTTGATGAGTGGAAGTGGATAAGCTTATATTTCTTTCTTCTTTTTTATCATGATTACATTTAACTCATTTTGAGAGAAATAATCTAAGTTAAAAAATGATTCCACTATACTTCTTAACTTTATTTTTCCTAGAAGTCTCCACAGGCTTTAAACATCATATTTCAACTAATTTCTGAATGTTTTAATGACTGCTCTGCAGTTCTCCTCAGGTAATACGATTGGGGAGTATCTTTTCTATTGTTGAATTCAATTTACTGTATTCTTTATTATGTGGGATAAAACTACCCTATCTGCAAATTCCACATCTACATATATGCAGATTTATTTCAAGAAAACCAAGAAAGCTCTGAGATTTCACTTTGCAACTCAGCCATTCCTCTACCATAACTCCCCAACTTCTTTAAGTCTAAAATTCTCCAATTGACTTCATTTATTTAAGAATTTTCATTCTTTGCTCAAATGCTAGAATCCTTGGAAATATATAGAGATGCATTTCACTTATTACTTATACCTCTGAAAGGTCTTCTTAGGTCTCTTCCTAAGAGCAGGTTTTGAAGATGGAAGGTAGAACATGGATGCCTTGAAGGTAGCAAGTAGTTTTTGAGGCGTATCAGGATGGGGCAAACCCACAAATGCAAAGCTCAACCTCACATTGAGTTTTAATGATGGAGACAGGTATTCAGAAAGTTCAACTACATTTTTCAAAGAAAGGACATTGATGTGTATAATAGGGGTGTGTGTGGGTGTGTGTGTGTGTGTGTGTGTGTGTGTGCACTTGTAAGAAAATATGGGTGGAATTTAGCCTGTCAATTGGGTTGCAGCCTGATGACTTCCCATGGAAGTCTAATGGAGATTATAGCTCTCTGGAGGCTGGCCATCCTAAGAGCTGCTGGAGCCATACAATGTTTTCCATAGACTTTGGATCCACATGACTTTGACATACTGGCCTGTGTGTGATCTTCCGGTATTCTGCATCATTGCATTTTGCTGTGTGAGTCTGAAGAAGGACTTACGGATTTATGGACTTGAGTTAGACTGGGCTCGGATGTTTTCTTGAAATATATAATTACTCCTTGATATAAAGCTCTTTCTCATACATATGAGCACTGGATTTGTTTCTCTGGTCAACCCAGCCTAATACAATGCTGATTAGCAAAAATGGACACTGTAATAAGATGCTTACCAGGTGAATGAATCCTGCAGCCGTGAAGCATGTACTAAAAATTATTGATAGCAGTTTGGAAAACTTCACTGAGGAACTAGAAGAAGAAAGACAAAGAGTTATTGACTCTCGTTAACATAAGAGTACAATAACACAAGCACTTGCTACTCAAAATGTGATTCATGGAACAGCAGTAGTGGTGTCAACTGAGAAGACATTAAAATTCAGATTTCCACAACCCAGCCATAATCTGTCAACTATGCATTTTTTACAAGTTCCTCAATTTAATCATGAGCACATTAGGGTTTATAAAGTAAAGTTCTAAACAGTCAAGTTATACACTTATTCAAGAAGTTTAGAATTTTACAGTGATATCACTAGCCTGATATTATATTGTTTAAAATAATGTTATATATGCTTCATTATAGGAGCTCTGGTGGTGTATAGGTTACATGCCGGGCTTCAAACTGTATGGTATGTAGTTCAACACCACCATCAGCTCTGAGGGAGAAAGACTGGGCTTGAATTCCCACAACAGTGACAGTCTCAGAAGCCCACAGAGGGTCACTATGAGTCAGTAGTGACTTGATGGTAGTGAGTTTGGTTTTTTTTATATGCTTAATTATAACAATTTAATAGAACGTATAGTACAAAAGTCATATTCCTAGGAATTGTCAGAAGGGATGGACTGGCAAAATAAAATATTGAATTGATCATAAACATGCATGGCTAATGTCATAATAGGAACTGTGAGTAATAAGAATGAGAGAACCTCCCATTCTGTGATTTTTGGCAAAGGCACCAATTACTCAAGGTACCCTTTTCCATCCCTACTTTTGACAATTAATGAATGCTTCATAATGGCCTGCTATGTTCTGTGATTCTAATCAAAGCCCAGACATTTGGTGGTAAAAATTAGAAGTTCATTAGTGCCCAGAGGCAGCTTGTTGTTAGCTGCTCCAGTCAGTTCCTACTCCATATACACAGAATTAAAAACCTCCAAGTCCTGTGCCAGCCTCACGATTGTTTGTAGGCTTCAGCCCATTGCTGAAGGCACTGTGTCAATTCATCTTGTTGAGGGCCTTCCTCTTTTTCACTCCCCTCTACTTTACCAAGAAGTTTTCTTCAGAGACCGGTCTCTACTGATAACATGTCCCAAGTACGTGAGATTAAATCTCACCATCCTTGCCTTTAAGGGGCATGCTAGCTGAGTTTTTTTTTTTGAAGACAGATTTTTCTTCTTTTGGCAGTCCATTCTACTGTCAATATTCTTCACCAGCACCATAATTCAAATGCATCAACTCTTCTTTGATTTTCCTTATTCAGTGTCTAGCTTTCACAGGCATACAAGGCCATTGAAACTACCATGGCTTGGGTTAGGGACACCTTAGTCCTCCAAGCAACATCCCTGCTCTCCAACACTTTAAAGAGTTCTTGTGCAGCGTATTTACCCAATGTAACAGGCCTTTTGATCTGTTGACTGCTGCTTCCATGAGCACTGATTATGGATCCAAGGGAGACAAAATCCTTGACAACTTTTACTTGACAACTATTCCTCATTCATCATCATATTATCTATGAGTCCAATTGTGAGGATTTTGGGGTTTTTTTACACTGTTGTAATCTACATTGAAGCAACAATCTTTGATTTTTTATCAGCAAGTGCTTCAAGTCCTCACTTTCAGCAAGCAGGCTTGCATCATATTTATTTTATAGGTTGTTAATGAGCCTTCTTCAAATCGTGATGCCCCATTCTTCTTCATATAATTCATCTTCTCTGATTATTTCTTAAGCATAGAGGTTGAAATATGGTGAGAGGATACAACCATAGAACATACCTTTGCTAATTTTAAACCATACAGTGGTCCCTTGTTACGCTCGCACAACTGCTTCCAGATCCATGTACAGGTTCCCAATGAGCACAATGAAGTGTTCTGAAATTCCCATTTATTTATAAGCTATCTATAGTTTGTCAGGGTCTATATTGTTGAATGCCTTTGAATAGTCAATAAGACACAAGTAAATGTTTTTCTGCTTTTAGCCAAGATCCATCTGATGTCATCAATGACATATATATGACAACCCAGAGTGCTTCCTCTGTCTGCAAGGTGATCCTTTTCCATATCTCCCTGCCCTAGATCCCTGGAGATCTGCAACCTGATCCCAGGGATTTCCCAGCCATGCCAGCTGTGCTGTCTCTACATGCCACTGAAGTCACCACCCATCAATGGCTCCCCCTTCAACCCCCAGCTGGGTTGCCACACCAGGAGCTGCACAGCTTCCCTGCTGAGTTCCAAAAAGCCATGGCTGGACCACCAAACAGCTTCTGGCCACTGGTGGCACTCCACTAGGGGAGAAATTCCCTTCTCCTGAGGTTCCCATCTTTCCACGTGGCAGTGATCCTGCAGGCAAGCTCTGGTTCCTCCACCACCCACCCAGAGTCCCAGGGGCTGACCTGAAGTTCACCTGCAGTAAATTTGGTCTCCTGCAGCTGTGGGAGCTCTCTGCACCATCTCCTAACACCACCCCACCCCTGTAGCAGCTGCACTCCCATACCTATGGGACACAGTGCCTGCCACTTCCCGGGCAGCATGGCTCAGCATTGCTCCAGCCTCTCCAGGTTTACACAGCACAGCACTTCCAACTTCTGCTGGCCTGTGTTGAGCAGCGTCAGCAGCCTTTCCTGCAGTGCAGCACCATTCCAGCCTTTCCCCAGCTCACATAGAGCAGCTCCGGCTTTTCCCAGGACAGTGGCACCTCAGCCTCTCTGGCCCATGAGGAGCAGTGGAGGATGCCATGAAGGATGCCTTCCTTGGCCTGGAAGGCATCTAGCCTTGCTCTGGAACCCAGGGAATCAGCTACCTGGTCCCTGGGACTCCCCAGCCCACAACGACCACACCACCTCAGAACCCAATGCGGTCACCCCAGTGATTAGCCCCTCTCAGCCTTATTGCTGCATCTGGAGTTAGTTAGCAGTCACATTGTGCTCACCACAACTATGGCTGGGCCCCCACATGGTGACTTTCTAGCTCTCTCCAACTTGAGCTCCTCCTTCCTCCCAAGGCTCCATTCTCTGCACAAGGTGGCAGGTCCCTTCATTGAGCAGTAACTTCCAAGGACACACCCATGGCCCAAACAGCTGTGGCTAAACCCTGTGGCTAATTACCTGCAACTACAGCAGCTTTCCCCAATATTGCCTGACACCCTATCCGACAACCCTGCAACAGCAGCAGCTGTTTCCCTCCCGTCATCCACAACAGCAGAGGCTGTCCCACACCTGTGTGGTACACCCTGCCAGGGGCAGCTGCCTTCACCAGTGTCTGGCACCTCCACCCTGTGGAGACTTTCCCCTGGCACCTGCACCAGCAGCAGTTGGATTGTTGCCACCTTCACACAGCACCCCTCATGCGGCAGCAAGGCCTCCCCAACTGTTGTCTTCTATTAGGTGCCATAAAAAGGGCTGCAAATCATGGCCTGACAGCCCAGAACAAGTTGGCCCAGGGGCATGCATACAGTCACCAGGATCACCCCAGTACCAGAGGCCCCATCACTGTTATTGGCCACAGAGTCATTGTGGCACCCTGCTTACACAGCAATTTGACCCACCACCATAGTAGGCCACAGGTAGACCTCAAAAATACCCTTACCAGTAAAATATAGAAAGAGCTCAGTGTCCCTTGGTCTCCCAGAAACATGGCATCCAGTTCTCCTAAATTGGCATATAAACAACAAAGTACCGCAAAACTCTCAACAATAAAATAAGAAAGATAAAACACAACAGCAGAGCTAACGATGCTCATAGAAGAATCAGACATGGATGTACCACAAAAAGAAATTTTCAGAAAGCTGCTTGGAGTAATACAAGAAACAAAGGAAGCAATGCAGAATAAGGAAGCAATGATAGAGAAGATGAAGTCCACAATAGGGGAGATGAAGTTCACGCACCAAAGGGAAATACAGGAGCTAATGGATGAGGTAACAGAAGCTGCACACAAGATCACAGATCTTATGACCAGACTAGAGGAGGCAGAGAATCGTGCCAGTGTTCATGAAGACAATCAGGCAGACTTCAACAAACGAGAAAGATAGTCAAACAAGATAATAAAAGAGGTGGAAGAAAACCTGAGATCAATGACAGATGCTATGAATAAGAACAATATTCAAATAATTGGTTTACCAAAACAAGACACAATGAGGAAGTCTACAGCTAAATCAACAAGGGAATTTCTGGCAGCAAACTTTCCCATCTTAATGAATGAGAATCAGACACTCACACCGGAAACATAGAGGACACAAAACAGACTAATCCCCTGGAAGAACTTGCCAAGGTATGTAATAATTAAATTAGCCAAATTCAAGGAAAAAGAGAAAATTTTAAGAACAGCAAGAGAAAGAAAGGCAGTCACATACAATGGTGCTCAGGTAAGAATATGCTCATATTTACCAGCAGAAATCATGAAGAGGAGGAGAGAGTGGAGTAACATCTTTCTAAGGCTGAGAGAAAAAAACACCTGCCCAAGAACCCTCTACCCTACCAAATTATCTATTAAGATAGGATAGATAAAGGTCTTCCAGGACAAGAAAAAACTCAAGGAATATGCCATGAAACATCCAACACTGCTGAAAATTCTTGCCAACTCACTATAGTCAGTGGACCAATATCCACAAAGCACAAGCAAGAGGTCACCATATAGCCCAACTCCATCCAGAAGTCAACGTGTCGACACCCAGTGCAAAAGGTATGAGTTGTTAGCAATGAATCTACAGATTGTGATAATAACTCTAAGTATCAACAGTCTGAGTGCATACACTAAAAGAAAAGCTAGCAGACTGGCTCAGAAACAAAACCCATCAATCTGATGCTTGCAATAGACACCTCAAGCTCAGAGACAAAAATAGACTAAGAATAAAAGACTTGCAGAAAATATACAAGGAAAGTGGCAACTTAAAAAATGCAGGGGTTGCAATCCGAGTCTCTGATAAAATTGACCTCAAGGTTCAAACCATAAAAAGAGACAAGGAGGGACACTGTATAATGCTCAAAGGATCAGTAAACCAGGAACCAGTGAGCATAATCAATATATATGCGCTTAATGA